CATACATTACTCACACGAGTAAAAAACAGTACAATATTTATAGAGGATAATTTGAAAGTACTTATAAAAAATATAAACACATTTACTACTTAACGTAGCAAGATCAAGTCTAAAAATGTAGCCTGCAGATTATACTTGCATAGATACAAAATAGCATATATACAAAGCTATTCACTGCAGCATTATTGGTTTATTAAAATATTTTGACATTACAAACTATGTAATATGCACACATTAGAATCTTAGTAGACATAAGAAAGAATGAGAATGATTTTTACCCCAAAAACAAAGAGCTCCAGTATATCTTAAGAGGAAATGGCAAGATATGTAACAGTGTGTATATGTTACCTTTTATCTGAGAAAAGATAAAATGTGTGTGTGTTTCCTTGTCTATGTTTTACATAACCATATGAAGACAAACAAGAAATTGATAAAAATGGTTTTCTGTAGGAGGTGGTGGGGGTAGGGTAAGTAGGAATGGAAAATGGTACTAAGACTTTAGAAAATACCCTTTTATACTGTTTTGCATGTATCAGCCACTCAAAAAAAAATGTAGAAACACTCTTCCTCCACAAGACTGCGATGAACATTTACAAAAATTTACTAAAGACTATGATATGTGATAGTGAATTACTGGGGAAAAAGGTCAAAATTTTTTCAGATAGTAAATTCTGCTGAAATACTAGTGGATGCAAACTATTATATACAGAATAGATAAACAACAAAGTCCTACTGTATAGCGCAGGGAACTGTATTCAATATCCTGTAATAAACCATAATGGAAAAGGATATGAAAAAGTATTATATAGATACACACACATATGTATGTGTACGTACGTATGTGTGTATATATATATACACACACGTACGTATAACTGAGTCACTTTGCTGTACACCAGAAACTAACACAACACTGGGAATCAACTATACTTCAATAAAAAGTAAATTTAAAAAAAAACAGTGTTGTCTTGCTTTAAGAAGAGAAACACAGAACAACATAACAGAACTAAGAGTTCAGAAATATACCTAATATATATGGGAACTTATTTTAGGATAAAAGTGTCCTCAAACCATAGAAAAGGACAGCCAATTCAATACTTTTTGGACAATTGGTTATACCATTGGGGAAAAAACGTAGGTCACTACCTTATATAATAAGCAAACATAAGTTTTAAATTATTTAAAATAAAATAAAACATCCCATAAAACTGTGAAGAGTTTTGTATGATTTTTTAACATTTCAGATCAGGGAGAGAGGGGGAAATGGTCTTTTTAGATAATATATAACTTCCAGAAACTATGAGGAAAAAGATAAAGAGATTTTAACTACATAAAAACTTAAACGTTCTGTATAAGACACTATAAAGTTAAAAAATAAGAGACGAATATAAGACAAAAGATTACTGTCCATATCAAAGAGCTGCTAAAAAATTAACAAGGAAAGTTCAAAAAGTAACTGAAAATTAGAAAAAAGATGCAAATAGTTGGTTTACAGAACTACAAATAGGCAATCAATTATGAAACTTCTTCCAGAAATCTATGAAGCTTTTAAATGAACTATTTTTCCAGTTTTATCAAACTGGCAACAACAACAACAAAAGTTCTACTAAACAGTATTAGAGAGGGAAATGGGTTTTAATATACTGTTTATGGGAATATAAATTAATACAGCTAGGCTGGCCAGCAATGTGACACCTATTTAAATGTAAAAAATATTCACAGTAATTCTATTTCTTTGCATATATTTTATAAATATATGTGTACAATAAAGTATATAAAAGTACACTCAATGCAGCAATTACTGTAATAGAAAAAAAAAGGAAAAAACCTAGGAATATCATTAGGTAATTTGTGGTATATCAACACAATGGAATACTATTACAGCCATTAAGAATGAGACAGAGAAATAGCAATAGTTCTCAAACCTGAATGTGCATTAAAATTCACCTGGTGAGCTAGGTAAAATGCCCATTGTCTCCAACCCCTGGGATACTGATTCAGTGAAACTGAATGTGTGTTCAAGAATCTTCATTTTTAATAACCCAGAGGATTTTGATAAAGGTGGCAACATTAATCACTCTGAAAAATATTGGTAATAGAGTGGAAAAAGCAATTTCTATGACCACATTTATGTTTATAAAGAAACTACTTGTAGATGTAAATATGGATGATGTATACTTCAAAGTAAACTTGTGGAAAAAGTCTGGGAGGATATTTAAATTCCTAACAATGGTGACCTCTAGGGAAAGAAATAATATATTAGGGGATAGGGGGATGAAACAGAACTTTAACCGTTAACTCTAAATTTCTGTAGTATTTGGATTTTTTTGTACCAAAAATATACCTACTTATTACCTATAATGTTAAGAAAAAATGTCCTGAGTTAGTATTTGTTTCCTAAATGAAGGCTCACTTTTCTAGGATTATCAACTAATAACATGACAAGCTGGTGGTATTAATTATTCTTTGCCTTCAGGCAAGACATTCTTCTTTTTATTTCCCTCATACTTATGTGTGCCTCCCTGCATCTTCTCTGCAGTATGGTAATAGTTCCATTCCCACTCAAGGAAATCACCCCCTCACAATACCAGGCCTCATCCTCCTAACTTATATTTAGAGGGAAAATTCTCAGGTATGAGTTTTGGCACTATTATCACAAAAGTAATGGTTAAGCAGGGGAAACAAAAGTTAAGTAGTAAGGAACTCTTTCTTTCTGTGGTTTCCCGAGGGCAGAACACTGATGAGTAGAACAAGTGGGACTCTCTTCCTTAAAGCCATGGTAATATTTGGGAGCATCGCCTGGCTGTGAGGGCTAGGGACTAATGACTTCAATTAGGAATTACCTCATGAGTTTAAAGTTGACAAGTTATCTACTGAAGCGGAACATTATGAAGGCATTTACTATTACAGCAGGCTATCATTGCATGAAACTAATTAGATAGTAATTACACACTTACAGATTTCTTGGTAACCAGGAAACAGTTCTATGTATTTTGCATTTTGATATCACAACATTAATTAAAACGCAGACAGCCACATAATTAACATACGACATTATAACACATGAATCATAACAAATTATCTTACTGATGGATAATGATTTTAACCTAAATTATTCTCAAAATCTTTATAGAATTAAGAATTATTTCATCTCCAACTCAAGTTTTGACTCTCCTAAGCAAAATGACAGCAACCAGCTGACCCTTAGCAATATTTTATAGACTCAGTTTTATAGCTAGAAGAGGGAAACAATCATGTTTTTCACCTGCTGAATTTAACAGATGAGGAAAAAGTCACAATAGTACTAAATGTAAATGGTCTCTGACTCCCAAAGTCCAATGTTTGTTATCCACTGCAGATGCTGTCCCACCAATTTCCTTTCTAAAATTTCCATTACTCTTTCACATAACTGTTCATTTCCACCTAGATTTATGCTTGTGATTATGCAATTTACTCTAATCAATAACTGAGTAATTTTATCACATGTATCAAAATCCTACTTCCAAAATTGATCCATCCAGGAAGACTTCTCTGACTCCAAGGATAAAAATTGCAGTTTGTACCACTGTCAAGTCATCCAAGAAAAATCTTCCTTTTGTGTTTATTTAGCAGCACTTACATATATAGAAATTATATTTTCTTAACTAAAACCCAGGACACATGATCTGAGCCAAATAATTTTTTTTCAATTCATAAGCTTTTATAAATATTTAATTTGAAAATATTAAATAAGTAAATAAACTGATTTTAAGGACAAGAATAAAATTGTATGCAATTAGGGTTGTACTAAAAAATTACTAACAACATTCTTAAAAAATTCCCACACCTGAATCTAGAAATCCTCCAGTTAGTGACTAGCTTTGTGGAGGGAGAAAAACAGCTATCCATCTGCAGCAGTTAACACCTTTAACTAAATATTTTGTTGACATTTCACACTACTTGTCAAGTTAATTTATTTGCCAAAAAAGATGTGAGGCTATATTCTTTATGTAAAAACAAGAGTTCTGTAAAGATGACGCATCTTCATCCCTAAGACACCACACTTGTGCAAGATGACAAAGGTGGTGCCTATTGTCAGTGAGTGCACATGCCACGGAATGCTCCTCCCTGCCCCATGCTCAGGCAGGAGACTGATTATATGGTCAACCTAGGAACAGAAGCTGAGAACATCTTAACAGAAATATTCCTTTGCCTTACTCAAGCTGAAGATACAGGACATAATTTAGGAGAAAAATATTATAGTGTCACAGGTAATAAAACCCCAATACAGGGTTAGAGCCCCAGGAGGCTGCATGGGTGATAGAGGAAAAAAGCAAAAACAAAACAATTAAAGTTAAGAATAAAAGCATTATGGCTTAAACCTTCCCAAGTAGAGCATATTAATCTAGATATAGAATCTAAGACAGAAGCACTGAATCAATACTTTCACACGAATTACTGTAAACTGATTCGAAAAGAAATTTTCAATTATCCTAAGTGTAAAATGGGGCCCAATATTCATGCCCAGAATTTTAAATTGGAATATAAACCTTTTGTTGCTAAATAAAGGAATGCTAAAACTTAGATGCATATACTGAAAATTTTGCATATACTGAAAAATAAACAAAAATAAAATACATATGCCAAGGAGAAAAACCTCTCCATCATAAATCAGACCCTACCATTCAATTTTTCTACCTTTTATGTTATATAAAAATGCATATTTTACAATGGATCATTACGTCAATAAAACTCTATTAACAGTAAGTCTTCAGCCATAAGCTTTTGTAAAAATTTGTACCCCTAATACAGTGTTGATTTGTCTTACCTATACTGGCCATAACTTCTTTTCTTACCAATCTGTAGACTAAATTTGATCCCTTGAATGTTTCAGAGAAATGATTATATATTATTATGTAATATTTAATGTATAATGACTAGATAATATTTTGAAACAAATAATATACATTGCTTAATATTTTTTATTTCATTTTATTTTACGTGTACTCGGGAACACTTACCTGATATAGAAGGTCTTTCTGAGGCAAAGGGGGGGACTGTCCTTCATACATAGGAGGTGGTTTATGTGTGGGTGGAAGGTCGATCCTGCATTAAAAAGTTTAAAAAATGCGATTGCCACTTTTAGCAAAAAAACAAAAAAAAAGGGTGGGTGGGGGAAACATTCAAGATTCGCTTAAGTTTTAAGAATATTTTCCTCATACTAATATTTGTATTAGCATACATGTTTAATTCAGTTCTTACATTTCCATTAATCAATCATAATTGGAACAAAAAAGTGAACTGGTTTTAAAGGTTCTGTTTAGGACTAATCTGAAATAAACAATTCTTTGAAAAATCTAAAAAAGAAGCAAATAGAAGTATTTTTTGAACATTATTATTAGGCAAGTAATCTAGTATATGACTAATTAAGTACTGCACATTTTTACATATGACTATGCCTACCAACATTTTAAATATAGTCAAACATGTGTAATGGAAAACACTTTCCTCCAAAGTGTCATAAAAGTCATTTAAAAGACTGTATCTTAAAATGATAATGAAAAAATATGCTTATACTATATTTTGGAAATACTTCCATAATTAGTTTTCAAAAGCCATGGTCATTCTTAGAATATTCATCATGTAAATTAAGATTTTCAATCTACAAACCATTATAAATCTTGGCACCTGAAATAAATGAAGAGACCATTACATCCTTGGGGAATGCATTTATCTTTGCAAAAATGACCTAATCTACTAAAAAAAAGTATTTTCATATATTTTTAAATTGTTGCATTACAACAAAAATAGAATTAAATATATTGTGTAGCTCTCTGCATTTTAGAAAATAATTTTTCATATATTCTCCTACTTTTGAAGATCACAGATAACTAATTTTCAGTAATTGAGATTAGTAAATCAAATAAAAATTTTACCTATATTAAAAGATAAAGAGGATGAAAGCTATAGAGGCCAAAGAAATTACAAATTCTCACTTCTCCATGTGGGCATGAAATAATATTTTAAATGAACAGAATTCAAATAATAAATAAAATGATTACATGGATGTAATTACTAGTCTACTAGTAAATTATCTTTTGGAAATTATAGAAAAGTTTGAGATAATCTGGCAACTAAGATGAAGTTAACCACAAGCTAGATACTCTTGAAATATTAGAGGAATCGGTCTTACAGGTATTAGACTGACAGGGTATTTTATAGTCCTTTTATTTAAAGTAATTATTTCCTTTAATGTAACAAAAATCACAGCAAATGTATAGCTCCAAGATGCCGTAAGTTATTTAGGTGAGAAAACCAAGGTTCATGGATGTGACTCGTTCATGATCATACCACTAATTTGATCGTAATAGAGCTAACACCCAGGTGTCCTTAATCCAAAAAGATCAGTGCTCTAACTGTGCCAGATTAGAGAGGCAGAGACATACACAAAGCATTTATGAAGAGAGAAGAAATACATTCCTTCAGAGCCAGCCTCATGTCCTCATATAAAATCATTAATAACCACACAAGAAATAATGTCATTTGTATAGAACTTCACAGTTCATAAACATCATCTTATTCTACTCTTATCACAGCCATGTGAGGTAAGCAGGAAAAGTATTATTCACATTTCACAGATGAAGCAACAAAAGCTGCTGATGGAATTAAGGGAACTGGGACTTCGGTCTTTTGATTATACAACAGAGTGCAATTTCTGTTTTGTAATTCTATCTCATGATTAGGTCCAAAACATTGCTTTCTCTTTAAATAAAAGCACATTTTGTAATTCACCAAAACCAAATTTCTTTAAGATAAAAGCTTTAAAACTCAATGTATTTAATAACTTTTGGCAGTTTAGAGTTAGTTATATCTATACATAAGACAGGCATAAACAATTTAAAGAAGTAATTTAAACTTCTAAGATTTTTTATATCTGTCTTTCAACTACTTCATGGAAGACCTGCATTTTTATTCAGAAGGCAGGACAACGTAGAGTCATTATGTTACCATTTGGAAAGATATGTAATATACTGTAGGTTAAAAAGGTGTCTAATATATTTGCCTCTAGCAGCCCCTTACAACTGTTTATTTACCAAAATGTAGTCAGACTTCCTGACAAAACCAGTCATCTTACAAAGACCTAACAGTATCTTTACTTCCATCCCTCAGACAGTTTTCATATGAGTAGCTGTAAAGATAAAGACTGCCACATACTGAATATTCATAGTTGAACACAAGCAAAAAATTTACCTACACTTTGTCAAGGTAGGATGGTCTCTTTTTTCGAGGAGTCAACAGCACAGTCACAAAGATGGCAATGATGAAAAGGGCAAGGACAGCTCCAATTACAGCTCCAGCTACAGCTATAGAAGAGGTCTGCTTAAGTGGAACATCTGTAAAGTAACAAAAATTAGGTTTTTAAAACAATTTTAAGAGTTCTTCAGTTTGTGTCCTCTGATTTCTACAATGTGCAAGGACTGATTAAGTATGTTATCCAACCACAAGTTTAGAAGACCCCAAATTTGATTCATTACTTTTTGTAGCATTATGCTAACACATTTATTCCTTGCAAGATGTCACCTTAGTACTCCAACTTTACTTTTTTAAAGTGATGAAACGAATAGCCCCAGTCAGGTATCAATGAGTGAATCTACTGTCAACGGGCAAAGAATGTCTAAACGAGAAAAGAAGATAGAGAAAAGGATGAAAACTAAGTTCTTACTCTAAAAGGTGATAAAAAAAAAAAATTCAGTATTCTTTAATGGAGTTAGCCAACAATGTATTGAATAGATTTTTACCTTTCATTCCATTAAAAGAAATTCTAAGAAACCAAAAACCTTCAAGAAAGGGAAAACAACACTAAAAAACAGAAAATATCCCAGACGTAATAGTCAAAAAGTGACATTGTAAAATCTAAGTTTTTAAAATAGAAGTATTATTAAAACAGTACTTGCTGCAGATAACTTCCTTTAGTTCACACACAGTTAATACAAATTACACTTTAAGATAGTGTCTATACTACAAAATTATGTAAATTCTTCCCTGTCTCCTGGCTATAGACACACTCTATCATTTCTGAATACCAATTTCTCTTTTCCAGCCTGCACCACAAAATTTTATAAGAAAGGATGTTAAAAACATACTTAGTAGTTAGCATTTCACACAATTCTAAAAAAAATGTCACCCTACTTTATGAACTCCCAATTAAAGGAATTTACTAAAGTTATTTTCAAATATAAGTATTATGGATATGACAAAACCATCAATCCTTATGTGTAGGTATTATTTTGACAATTACAGCCATATTAAACCCAATAACTGAATTTTGTGAAGCAACCCATCAGTTACAAAGAACCTTCAATATACATGATTTTATCTTTCTAACCAGTAAGAAAGATATTTAAGGTAACATTCTATAAATGAAGATACTGCTATTCTAAAGTTAAATATTCTGCCCAAGGTCATTCAGTCAATGAATAGGAGAGAACACAGGGTGAAATAAAGCTAGGTTAGGGCAGGATAGAAACCTCCACCCATAAGCCCTTTTTGGGAAATGGATTTTCGCAACATCTAACGTAGTCTCTCCTTTTGGGTCCCCTATTTGGAAACGCTGAGCTCTTAGTCTTCAATTAAACTGACGTTCATATACACCCTTAAATAATTACAATTACTGTTGGAATCCAGACATGGCAAATTTAAATAGAATTAAGCACTATCAGTTTTGAAATATGTTTTACCTACTTACCATCACGGTATTTCCAAATACATACATAGTGTATTTAGAAGCATTTCCCAACTGTTCATATTAAAATGTGATTCATGTGGTGTTTTAGATTGCTAAAAACAACATTTTAGGGCTTCCCTGGTTGAGAGTCCGCCTGCCGATGCAGGGGATACGGGTTCGTGCCCCGGTCCGGGAAGATCCCACATGCCACGGAACGGCTGGGCCCGTGAGCCATGGCCGCTGAGCCTGCGCGTCCGGAGCCTGTGCTCCGCAACGGGAGAGGCCACAACAGTGAGAGGCCTGCGTAACGCAAAAAAAAAACAAAAAAACAAAACAAAAAAACCCACAACGTTTTACTTTCTTGCCAATTATAAAAATCTCTTCAGCAAACTAATGATCTTGTGTTTATTAATGGTTCATTAGCCTCATTCTAGACTAAAAATCTTATACCAATGAGCGCCAAGGAACCCAATCTGATCATCTTTCAAATACTGAATAGAATCTAAAAATATACAATTATTTTAAACAATATAACCAGCTTCATTGTTCAGGATGTTACCCTCATCTGCTAATACATACCTGGTTTATCTTCCTGTTGTTGCTCATTTCTCTAATCACTACTAACTCCATTTGAATATGTGCTACATGAGAAAAAGATTTGAAAACCAAGCCAGTCAAGTATTACTCTGCTCTTATAAATGTAGAAAAAAGACTTGGGATGATTTAGGGCTAGTCTTATCTTCTACACTATCACTCTTCCCACCATGTAAGTTATAGTTTTGTATTTGGTTTTTAACAATAGGCCAATTGAAACCTATTAAGATTACATGACCAAGGTTATTTGACCAAGGTCATACACCTTGTCAGTGGCAAAAATAAAATATCCCAATGTGTCAAGTATGCTACCTATTCTACACTAGTTAGTCTAAAGATTTCCTTTTAATGGAATTTTTTCTTTTGCTAAGGAATAAAGTGGCCCTATCACTTTTGCCCAAGTGTGGAGAATTTAAATTTGGGTGTTCTTATTTTGATGATAATGACAAAGTTGATACCATATTTATGTAATACTTCTGAAATTATTTTTCAAAAACTCAGGTTACTCTTTGAATATAATTAGCCCAAATTAAGATTAACAATCTTAACACATCATATATATATATATATATATATATATCACTCAATCCCAACGTATCATTATAAATTCTTCATCAAACCTCACACCTCCTACAAGAAAGCCTTTCATTTAATCTTAGCAATAATATTTAATTTGGTAGTGGTTTGTGAGTAATAAATCAAAATCAGACTTTTAATATCCTAATGTAATTCCCAACTCTGAATATATACTATTTTTAATATCCTGAAGTAATTCTCAAGTCTATATAGATACTATTCTTTAAACATTTAAATTATGGTCTACTTATCCAATTCTGTCCCATTAGTCTTCTAATTTCTAGCTCTAGAATTCCATAACTGAGAGGTGACTGTATGTATACTGTAACTCTTCCTTCTATTTTAATTTGAGCATATTTATTTCACTTGGTTCCATTCATTCTTTATTCATCTCTAACATTTTTTGCACACCTCTTCTTAGTATTGGAACAGGCTAGTAAGTGCTGAAATGAGGAAGTGGAAGAAAAGTTAGGTAGAGTCCATTTACCAATTGGATATCCTACTCTACATAGGTAAACTGATTAAGTACATATATGACATATATATATTTCCTTTTCTGATTCTTCAACTTACTAAGAAAAGGAGAAATAATATATTTAAGAGTATTAAGATTTTAAAAGTATTAATGGGTGATGAACACTAGTATGAAATGCAAAGGAAGAGCTCAAGTTTCTTGCATTCAAGTCAAAGAATTTTGACGAAAATTGAGAATTTAGCCCCAACACTGCCTCCCCACATCCCTGTCCTCATAATCTACATAGACTCTATATTCCAACAAAACCACTACAAGGAGAAAAAAAATTTAACTAAGTAAATGTATAAAAATTTGGCATTTTTCAACATTAAGCTAGTTTACTGAGTGACTGACATGAAGCAATATTACCTTACCATCACCTAAGGAGATGTTCTACTGAATCTAATTGTATGCTTACAAGCAGCAGAAAACAAAAAGACAAAAGCATTAAAATATTTAGTATTAAAGGATTGGTGCATGTCTCCCAGAAGAACATCTTTCTGTTATCACAGCTGCTTATTAATCCATATACATTGGAAACTCACCTCCAAAAACAGAAAAATAGCATTCCTCAATACAACCAAAGTACACTATCCATAATTAAAGACACCATGCATATATCTTATGGAGAAAGCTATTAAAAATCAGTTACAAATCATATAAAAAATTACAGATAGGAGAAATAACTTTCATTACTTTTTGAAAAAATATACATAAATATTATAGATATTAAACTGAATTAAAGTTTGTCTTTGTTTTCACTTTGTTACAAGTGAATAAAGCCTACGTAAAGGCTATTCAAACATGTGCTCACCTGATTCACACCTGAAACTGAGGCATCATAAAGTTTTTAAAAGTTAAATACTATTCTATACACTAAAATGCGTGTTTCTGGCAATTTCCTAAAACCATTTAAAATGGGTGAGTACAGAAATCCATAGTCCCTTTTTACACTTACATTAAAACACCAAATCCCAACAATTGAGATGTTAAGTTTCATCCCTCTTTATCTTCATTTCCTCCACCCAAACTTCTGTGATGCCATGGATTGATTCACAGCTTAATGTAATACCCTACAAACTTATCTTCCCAACTTTCATTTGGGATTAAATTCATATATCTCCATAATACATGTTACTGTATTACCAAATTTTCCCCATATGCCCCACTGTTTTATTTTTCAATAGCCGTTTTAATGCTTATCTTTTCAATACAACATCTAAGCCTTTATATCCATCCAAATATTTATCTCACTATTTTTTAATAAAAGTCCTCTATTTGGGTCAGGACAGTCTCCTCAGCTTCTCATCCAACAAATTACCAATAGTAACCGAACATGTGCCAGGCCTTGTGCTAGGAATGCCAAGGATAAATTTTACACAGTTTCTGTCCTCACAATAGAGCAAAAGCCTCAAGGTAGGGTCAGAGAATCCATAAAAATATTTATTTTCCAATGAAGTATAGGAATAAATCATCACTTTTCTAAAAAAAGAGAGGGAGAGGGCATTTAATAAAAATTACTATTGTACTAGTATGGATTGGCACTTGTAGCCCTAGTTGGTCCATGTGTCAGATGGCACCCTGCCACACAGGGCACCCAAAATTTCCTATAGGAAGTGTGGAGTGGGACAGTTCCAGAATGAAAGTAAGTAAACAGTTACATCTTTACTTCGTTGTCCCTCTCAACATAGCATCCTGTGACAGACATTATTGTGATGTATGGGAGCTCAGCTGAATGAACTAAAAACTTATCTAGATTTAACTAAAAGTCAAAAATGTAAAGGAGGCATGACATGCGTGCTCTGACAGGTGAACATCTGACTCATAAACCAAGTGAGGGTATCAGTGTTAATCCGTGTTATATACTAGTAGGCATTTAATCCAAGTAAATGCCATTCCTGCAAAGAACTGACAGAATGTAAGATAACACCAATAATGTACGCACAAATAACAACAAAACCCCACAAAAATGGCAATGCAAATAA